CACTTCGGAAGACAGCTAAAGTCACAGGGGCCCCTGAAGGACACTACATACTGTGTCCGTATCCAGGTCAGATAGTTAGAAGCTGCAGCACAATTTCAGTTCTCTTACCAGAGCTCATTGATACCTAGAACTGTAAAAAGTAGGTATGGTACACCTTGAGGGCGCATCTTAGTTAGTTACTGTGCTAGTGTACAAAACAGCCTTTAAAGCTAAAGGTAAAGGACTCCTGGACAGTGAAGTCCAGTCAAAGGCAACTATGAGGTGCGGCGCTCATCTCACTTTTAGGCCGAAGGAGCCGGCGTTTGTCCACAGACAGCTTTCCAGGTCATGTGGCCAGCATGACTAAACTGCTTCTTGCGCAACGGAACACCATGATGGAAACCAGAATGCACGGAAATGCCGTTTACCTTCCCGCCAGAGGGGTACCTATTTATCTACTTGCACTGGTGTGCTTTTGAACTGCTAGGTTGGCAGGAGCTGGGACAGAGCAAGGGGAGCTCACTCCGTTGCGGGGATTCGAACCGCTGACCTTCTGATCAGTAAGCCCAAGAGGCTCAAGGGTTTAGACCACAGCGCCACCTGCGTCCCATCAAACAGCCTTTAGTTCCACCTGACTATTCCAGCGCTGCAAGATAGATCCCTCTTAAGCAGACAGGGAATGGCTTAAGATGAGCAGGAATTCTCACTCCAGAATCAGCTTTCGGAAGCAGCTTTGCTCTCACTAGACCCAAATGTCAGGGTACATGTGGCAATTCCAGTTATCATGAAAAAACATGCATTTAAGAGACATCATGCTGAAATTGGAGCCAAGCAAAGAAGTAGCTGAAGATGAAGATTCTCCCTTCAGATTTTTGTGTTGAATAAGCAAAAGTTGGAAGCATGTTCCATGAGAACATGGGAATGGAGCACTTGCCAGCGTAGTTTACACCTGTATACCATTGGCTTTCACCCAAGTTAAAGACATGCTATTTATCCTACAGACTTCTCCAACCTGACACCTTCCAGATGTTTTGGACTACAACTCACATCAGCCCCAGCCAGCACAGAGGCTGATGGGACTCGTAGTCCAAAACGTCTGGACAGCACCAGGCAGGATATGTCCAACTGTTGAAATAAAAAAACTGATGAAACCAGTAGGAGAACACTTCAATCTCCCAGGACATTCTATACAAGATCTCAAAGTAGCTGTTTTACTACAAAGGAATTTCAGAAATAGACTGGAAAGAGAAGCTGCTGAATTGCAACTCATTACCAAACTTAAAACCATGGAGAGACCTGGTCTGAACAAAGACATTGGATTCTTATCTCATTATACATGACAAAGCCATTTTTCACCTTCTCACCCCTTGCTTTTTCCTGTAAGACCTATTGCAGTCGTTAAGAGTCGTCAACAGGCTCATCACAGCTATCTGCCAATCACCCATTCCCACCACCCTTCTGAGTAATACCCCTCCCCACCTTCTCACTATATAGAAGGATCTGGCAACTTCTGTTTCAGTGTATCTGAAGAAGTGTGCATGCACACGAAAGCTCATACCAAGAACTAACTTAGTTGGTCTTTAAGGTGCTACTGGAAGGAATTTTTTTTTGTTGAAATAAAAACAAAGCTGCAACAAAATGTACGTCTCTTGCATTCTTTGGGGCCAGAAGGGAAACCGCCACTGATGCCCTCACCTCCCTCCTAAGGAGGGTGCAACTTCAGTTGAGCAAGAGGAGCATTTGTGAATTGACCCTTTCTGATACAATGCCTGGGAATGAGTTTCTGCATCACCTCAAATACATTTTGGTTGTGTCTCTTTACACATTCTACTTCCAGTCATCAAAACACAGAGAATAAACCGGCAGGATTTAGGTAGGGGTCATATGAACACGTTCTCTGGAAATGCCCCAAAGATTCTTGATTCAAGATCCGGTCCTGTTCCAACCTATGTCAATTTTGCTTTAATCAAGTACAGCTTTTCTTTTTCAGTTTTTCCTCAAACATATGCAACCAGGACACAGCCCCTCTGCCTTTTCCGAGACCACTCAATCAAAATGAGGGGGGCAATATGCAAGTGGGGTACAGAAAGGATAGAAGACATTTCCTAGTGGATAGGGCCAATATTCTTTACATGAGGAACCATTCAAGACTTGATTTCTTGCTGCTCAATGTTTGAACTGACTCTTTTGAAAATGGTGTGCTTGACAATACTATTGCAAGGTACTATTAAAGTTCCACTTTCAGCATCTGTCCACGATTACACATTCACACATGCAATTAACCACCTGACGGTACAGGAATCAACAGGGCATGCATGTGTGAACTGCCTGCAAGAGAAACTGACCAGCTTTATGAACCACCATTTGGAAGCCTGCCCCTGAATTTGCTCTGTCTATACACACCAGGCCACAGATAAACAAGGCAACCCCCACCCCCCGGAAACACACCCTGAAGCCTATTAATCACAGCTTAAATTCTGCAACCTGATCCTAAACATGTTTACTCAGAAGCAATTCCCACTTAATCCAGCAGCACTTAGGAAATGAGCAATCTGGATAGTTCTGAATTGTGGAAGCATGCACTATGATTTTAAGGAAGCTCCTTGGGGCAAGGACCAGTCATTTTTGACATATTAATCTAGAGCACCATGGTCAAGGATGACACCACTTCAAGCACTCAGCTCTTGGTGTATTTGTGTTGCAAGATCCTTAAGGCAATTTTCAAGTTCTTCACTGGGGAAATCCTGCGATTCCTTGATGAGAAGATCTGAAACAGCAGGTCAAGGGTTCCTGAAAGGCAGAGCAGCCCACCATGTAGCTTCAAGGGGAGCACTGGATGCAATATGGGGGTACCCTCTCCATAGCTTATTGGCCAGTGCCAAGACTTATTCCACATGTGCCAAGTATACACCCTAGAAAAGCCTTCCCCAGCCTAGCACCTGCCTGATGTTTTGGACCACAACTCCTATCAACCCCAAGCAGCATGACGACTGATAGGAACTGCAGTTCAAAACATCTGGAGGGCACCAGGTTGGAGAAGGCTGACCTAGAACACGACCCAGGTTCTCCCGTAGGGTTTAGGGATTCCATGATAGTCAGGCTGCCGTGGAAAGATATGAGAGCCAGTGTTTTAAGGAAGGTGGCCTCTGACTTACATACAGGGGTGAAAAACTGACTGATGAAAAGGAAGGTCACCAGGAGATTATTTAAGCACATGCCTGATTAAACAACCTTCATTCATAACACTGAGCTATTAAGATTTCAAAAAACAGGAACTGGGAGCAAGGGAGATGTCTTGAACCCGGGAAAGAATTACGATAAAGCCACAGAGTTAAGTGTCTAGCCTTTCGATCCAGAAGGTATCTCCTGAGTCTGGTGTCTCATAACCGAAAGCTATCCAAGCGCCTGGTAACTAGAAGCCAGAGAGGAGGTCTAGATATAACAGCAGAACACTAGCACTACTCTGCCTCTAACCTGAGAAGATAATAGCTGAACTTTTAATCCTTTGCTAAAACCCACTTGCGCTTTTTTAGGCCAGGTGCCTCCTTCTTTCCCGATACCTGTGGTTCTCAGGGCCCCTTTCCAAACCCAAACGGGTCACGCATGAAGCCAGAACCCAAGGGGCCGTTCTCTTCCCCCACTTGACTGCCCGGCTTTGATCAGTCTCATTTTAACCGATGATTTCCGCAGTTGATCCTTAGCAGGATCCAGACCAAAGAACAAACTTCTTAACTGCAGCACTTGCTAGTTTTTCTGAGAGTGCGCAGAGAGAGGGGGGAAACTGCTCCCTGCTGATCCGAGCTGCTGGGAGAAGCTGGAATATTGCTTATTCGGTTTAATTTATTACAAGTTACGTAACCTTAATGCCCATACAGGAGTTTGGACCCAAGTCAGCCTTCTTTACACCACAGCAAATCCCACAACAGCACAAGCTCACACCTAGCAGCAAACACCCATCAGTGTTTTTAAAAAGTGCCATTTGTTAAATTCTCCAAAACAGCATCTCTGTAATTATCTGGCTATTTCACATTTCAAAAAGATTGCTAATCGCTCGGAACAAAAACAGCCCCAGTCCATATTGTGCGTTCAGGCTGCTTTTGCCGTGTAATTAAAAGGAGGACATTCACAGGTAAGCAAAGTCACCCTAAAAGGCATTCATTTGCCACCCCCCTTTTTAAAAAACTGTTTACAAAAAGACAGAAAATACCATGGAGGGTCTAAATGCTTCCCAGTTTCTATTGTTCAGCCACCAAAGCAAATCTAGTAAGGAAAGGGGAGGAGGAACAGCAGGCAGCAGAGAGAAGAAAATACCCCCAAAATGGGGGGGGGGGCCGAGGCGGCAGGGAAGCAGAGAAGGAAGCGAGAGGGGACAGATAATCCGATTGCTTCGCTTTATCAGTCCGCGGCGAAGTCTTGAGCAGAGATGGATTACTTAGAAAAAGCCTTGCATGTAAGCAGGCAGCTCTCAGCAGCCACTATGTCCTTTCAAGCAGGTAGTCCTCTGTGAGGCGGATTGCTGCCTTCCCGTCCTTTCACTGTTTTCCTCTCGGTTAAATAAAATTTCATTTCTTGCATTTCAATCCCACCTTTGTCCTCCCCCACCTCATTTGACCACCCCAACAGCCCTGTGAGGTTGAGAGGCAGCAAGTGACTGGCCCAAGGTCACCCAGGGAGCTCACGGCCAAGTGGGGGATTTTAACCCTGTCCTCTCCCAGCTTCTAGTCCGCCACTCTCTAACCACTACACTGCACAGCCTCCCATCTACTCCTCTCCTCCGCCTCCGGAGCTTGGAGGGGGGAAAGCGGGTCTGCGAAGGAGGGCAGCGTTTTGGAAAGCTGCGGCCAGAGACCCCAACCAAGACTGCGCGCCCCAGCTCGACGGGACGCGCGACACTCGCCGCTTCTTCCATCCCATCCCAGGCAAGTTTACCCGGGAGGGTTCCAGGGTGGTTCTCCTCGCGAGCAAAGGCTCAGTTGGGAAGGGGAGCCGGAGCCGCGCCCGGACGGGAGGGGGCCACTTACCGAGGGTCAGGAGGGCCACCTCGGCGGCCGCCGCGCCGACCATCTTGCCCGGCCAGCCGAGGAGGAGGAGGAGGAGGGGGGGGAACGGCGGCAGCAGCGGCGGCGTCGGTGGACTCAGCTGGCCAGCCCTCGGCCCCCGGCGGCGGCGGCGGCGTCGAGCATTCCCGGCGGGGCCGGCGTGGAGCCCCTTCGGAGGGCGAGCGGGAGGCGCGGGCCGGTCGGCAGCGATGCACCTGCGCCGGGCGGAGCAGCAGCCAGCGCCTTCCCGGGCCGTCGGACGCGCAGGCGGGCGGGCGAGCGAGCGAGCGAGCAAGGGCGTCGGTGCGCTCCTCTCGGCGCGGCTCCTTCCAGGTGCGCTGCGCGGCCCCGAGTGGCCGAGGCGGCGAGCAGCGTCCGCCCCTCCTCCTGGCGCTGCGCCGGCCTCCCTCCCACGCCCCCCGGGCGGGGTGGCGGCTCCGGCCCCCGGGACGCCCTGCAGAAGCGCCCCGCGGGCGCTAGGCGGCGACGGGCAGCCGCCAGGGAGAGGCTGCACGTCGGAACAGCTGGAAGTCCGTCCCCGCGATCCGCCAGGAGGTGGTCGCGCTGCGGGAAAGCATCCCTTGAATGCCTCTGTTTCATTTCGTTTCTTTTGGGCAGGGGGCGGGGGGGGGGGAAGCTCATGAAAACCAGGGGAAAGTTTCATGGGAAAGTTTCGAATTGCAACTTTTTTCTAGTACAGTACTTCCACTCTTGTATGTGATAAAAAGTGCCTTTTATATTTGCAACACAATAAAAATCCTTAAAAATCTCTTTTACGTCAGAACCAGTGAAGGCGGTGAAGGTCCTGTGTGAGTGTCTGGAGGCGGTTGGAGGATGGATGGCGGCTAACAGATTGAGGTTGAATCCTGACAAGACAGAAGTACTGTTTTTGGGGGACAGGAGGCGGGCAGGTGTGGAGGATTCCCTGGTCCTGAATGGGGTAACTGTGCCCCTGAAGGACCAGGTGCGCAGCCTGGGAGTCATTTTGGACGCACAGCTGTCCATGGAGGCACAGGTCAAATCTGTATCCAGGGCAGCTGTTTACCAGCTCCATCTGGTACGCAGGCTGAGACCCTATCTGCCTGCAGACTGTCTCGCCAGAGTGGTGCATGCTCTGGTTATCTCTCGCTTGGACTACTGCAATGCGCTCTACGTGGGGCTACCTTTGAAGGTGACCCAGAAACTACAACTAATCCAGAATGCGGCAGCTAGACTGGTGACTGGGAGCAGCCGCCGAGACCATATAACACCGGTCTTGAAATACCTACATTGGCTCCCAGTACGTTTCCGAGCACAATTCAAAGTGTTGGTGCTGACCTTTAAAGCCCTAAACGGCCTCGGTCCAGTATATCTGAAGGAGCGTCTCCTCCCCCATCGTTCTGCCCAGACACTGAGGTCCAGTTCCGAGGGCCTTCTGGCGGTTCCCTCACTGCGAGAGGCCAAGTTACAGGGAACCAGGCAGAGGGCCTTCTCGGTAGTGGCGCCCGCCCTGTGGAACGCCCTCCCATCAGATGTCAAAGCGATAAACAACTACCTGATATTCAGAAGACATCTGAAGGCAGCCCTGTTCAGGGAAGTTTTTAATATATGACATTTTTGTGTATTTTTCATCTTTGTTGGAAGCCGCCCAGAGTGGCTTTTTATTATTAAAAGTTTGGTTTAGAATTATTGCCCCTGATGAATGAATGATGCTCTAACTGTAAATGTATTTTTCCCTAATGATTTTTTTTTTTTAACTTTAAACTGCTTTTAGATGATTATCATTGTAATTGATTTCAGAGTGTTTGAAACAGTTTCAGAATATTCCTATCCCTTCTTTTTTTTCCTTTTTTGAATTGCGGGTCTGTTTGCCACTGCCCCCCCCCCTTGCCCAGGCTGCTTGGCTTGCATGGACAGGGCTAGAAATTCAACAAATAACTCAAGAAGGAGCCTCTGGGGTTGCCTAAGATTTTGTAGCTCTGCTGCATCTTCAGGTGTTGCCATTACTCAAACAAGAGGCCCTGATCCGTCCCAGGTATCTGCAAAACCTCGCCATTCCCAAATTGCATCATGAGAAAGAAGGCAGACCTCTCCTCTCCCCACTCACCAGCTGGGGCAACCCAACAGGCAACATATTTTCCTCTTAGTCATTCAGGTGACTTGCACCTATTTGACTTAGGGATGGCCACATTATGTAGTTTTTGCAGCAGAAACCAAAAGCCAGAAAGTGTGTTATGATGAGCAACTGGCTAAGAATGACCTGAAATATCTGCACATTTGTATCCAGACTGGATGGCAGCCATGGGGACAAGTGGGAGAGTGGCAAGTGAGACAACCACTTACCTGGAGAGACAGGTAAGGATTGCAGGGGACTGGGCTGGATGACCCTAGGGAAGGGTCCCTTCCAATTCTCCAATTCTATGACTCTATGTTAAAGTGCAGGGCTACAAGCTTAAAACATCTTCTTTTAGCTTGAAAGACTAAGAGATTTCTTATGTGGGGCTACCTTTGTAGGTGACCCAGAAACTACAACTAATCCAGAATGCGGCAGCTAGACGTGACTGGGAGCGGCCGCCGAGACCACATAACACCAGTCTTGAAAGACCTACATTGGCTCCCAGTACATTTCTGAGCACAATTCCAAGTGTTGGTGCTGACCTTTAAAGCCCTAAACAGCCTCGGTCCAGTATACCTGAAGGAGCGTCTCCACCTCCATCGTTCTGCCCGGACACTGGGGTCCAGCACCGAGGGCCTTCTGGCGGTTCCCTCCCTGCGAGAAGCCAAGTTACAGGGAACCAGGCAGAGGGCCTTCTTGGTAGTGGCACCCGCCCTGTGGAACGCCCTCCCACCAGATGTCAAAGAGAAAAACAACTAGCAGACTTTTAGAAGACATCTGAAGGCAGCCCTGTTTAGGGAAGCTTTTAATGTTTGATGTATTACGGTATTTTAATATTTTGTTGGAAGCCGCCCAGAGTGGCGGAGGAAGCCCAGCCAGATGGACGGGGTATAAATAAATTATTGCTATTGTTATTGTTATTGTTACATTAACTTTCACAGGTTGCTGCAGACCAGAACAGCTTCTGCCACAATAAATCTGTTGGCCAACAAGGTGCCACAAGACTCTTTCTTCTTTGTACTACAACTCTTCTGAAAAGCCTAGATTAATTTCCTCTGTATGTTCACAAACTAAAATTTTAGCTGAGGCCAGTTTTAATGAGCAAGTGTAATAAAAAAAATGTTCACTAGTGAGGCTATAAATAGGGAACCACACTTGGAGGGGGGGGCGGGCAAAGGGTGTTTTTTTTGTTTGTTTGTTTCTCATGCGTGACTATAAGCCAGAAAGAAAAAGGATATTAACACAAAGGCCTTTCCTGCTTAGAAATATGTAGTGAGCCTCACCAGTTGTTGTTTTTTTTTGGGGGGGGGGTCTTTCGTGGTACAGTACTCACCAGGGTAGCGAAATAGTAGTACTACAACAGTTCTAAAAGGCATGGTGCCCCCTGGTGGTGTGGCAGTGGAATAGAAAAGAGCCTTGCTGGGATGGTGGGGGGGTGTGTGTGTCAGACTCCAACTCCCTTCAACCTGTAGTCTAAATTACATCTGGAGGGCACTACGTTGGGAAAGACAGTGTGAGTGCTTTAGCTGGAACGTATGCAGAACCATTGCCCGGGAGAACGCTGCCCGATGGCCAACTGAAGAAACTTTTGCAACACCCAGAAAAGCAAATTTGACTCATTCCTCTCTTTTTTATTTATTTAATCAAATTTTTGATACAAACATCAACCGCAAAAGACACATACAACAAAAACCATAGTAACAGTAATAACACAATTTGACAATTCAGATTTGGATGCACCGATATACCTATTTGACTCATTCCTTTCCAAACAAAGGTTGCCACGTTTTCAAACTGGGGGCTGTGCCTGCGCCTCTGACGTCTGGCGTCTATGTCCAAACAGCAGGAAGCTTTGACCTCTGCAGATCAAGCTGCTCCATTAAAGGCACAAGGGGGGTGGGGGGCGTTTTATTCCCTGTCACCTCACAACCCCACTCAACTCCCCTCTGTGTTATTTCTCATCTCTTTGGGCAAGCTTGGAGACCACAATATTTATTTATGTAAATAGAAGGTCGCTCCATTGTAATCAGCTTCCCACTCCTTGCTTGAGTCATTCATAAGCATAGTTGCTACATCTCTGGAGGAAGGAAAAAACGGCAAACTCAGTGATTATCAGGGCTCTTTGAACCGGGGGGGGGGGGAGCGGAGCGGGAGAGATTTCTTCAACAGCTGGATGGGTTTAGTGAAGAGGAAAAAAACCTAGGCCCATCCTAATCCAGATTATTCAGCGTTAAACAGCTTCTGAGAGAATAAAACTGCTGTAGGCATGTTTGCAAAGGGATGCGGGTGGCGCTGTGGGTTAAAGCCTCAGCGCTTAGGACTTGCCGATTGAAAGGTCGGCGGTTCGAATCCCCGCGGCGGGGTGCGCTCCCGTCGTTCGGTCCCAGCGCCTGCCAACCTAGCAGTTCGAAAGCACCCCTGGGTGCAAGTAGATAAATAGGGACCGCTTACCAGCGGGAAGGTAAACGGCGTTCCGTGTGCGGCTCTGGCTCGCCAGATGCAGCTTTGTCACGCTGGCCACGTGACCTGGAAGTGTCTCCGGACAGCACTGGCTCCCGGCCTCTTGAGTGAGATGGGCGCACAACCCTAGAGTCTGTCAAGACTGGCCCGTACGGGCAGGGGTACCTTTACCTTTACCTTTACCTTAGGCATGTTTGCAGATCAGCCCCTTTGCAGGGGACCCGGGGAGGAAGAGATGTACAGCAGGTGCTGTTTTCACCCACTTTTGTATCACAGGCTACATCTGACAGCATGTCCTTATTTAATCCCATTGGAGCCCTCGCTCCCACATGGCATCGGGTCAACTTTGTCTCCATTGCAGCAAATGTAACAGCAGTGTATATTTTACTTTATGCGTAGGGGCTGGGGCTTTGCTTTGTTTTGCTTTTCTACAGTACTGGAGCAGAACCATACCAGGAAATCATGGTGCCTGACAAGGCCTCTCCTCCTCCCAGAGGGGAGGGGTTGTGAGCGGGAGCAGCTTCCCGCAGGGGCAGGGAGGCGTGCTCAGCTCCCTGCTCCTGATTGCCTCTGCTGCCGTGGCCAAGCCTTCCAGCTGACCAATAGGCGGGGCTGGTGGGCGGGGCTAGCCTCATTTAAACAGCCGTGGCAGCGCTCAGTTCCCAGCCTGTTGCTGCTTTCTTCGGATCTCCCGCCCTCCCTCGCTCGCTCTTAGGTCAGCTTCTTTTGTGTATTGACCTTGCTATGGACTTCGGTTGGTTGCCTTGGTTGCCCAAGGGGCCTGGTAGGACTTTTTTTTATCCATTTGGCAAATTGGCACCAGCCTCTTGGTTTTTCCGCCTACCTCGTAGCAATTTGTCACAACTTTCTGGTATTGGCGGTTAGGCATTGGAATATGTGTTCTGTGTTGGAGGATTGGGTATGGGCCATCATCTACCCCTCCTCTTTTGGGTATTCCATTAAAGGAATCCGGCGGTCGTAGATCCTGTCCGATGCCCTGCTGGTGGCTAGGGCCATGGCACGACCCCCAGTGATGTCACGGGGGAGCTTCCAGTTGTATTTGCATCAACAAGCTCCTCCCATTGGTTGTTAACCCAGATATGACTCCTGGCTGTGCGGGGTGGAGTCTAGTATTGTTTCATCCAGTGCCTAAGCCAATACTACTCACATGCCGTAACCAATAAAAGTTGTGGCCGAATTTTGCCCATTAACCTAAAATAATGTGTCTTTGTGTTTTATTATAATCCTATGCGGGTGGCGGGTCCTCGACTCACAAGAGGACCCTGCTGGAACAAGGGTCCTGCATCCTGTTCTCACAGTGACTGGCCATCAGGTGCCCCAATGGGAGGCCCATAAGCAGGACTCGAACGCAAGAGCCCTCTCCCCTCCGTTGGCTTCCAGCAACTGCCATTCATAGGCATTGCTGCCTCTTACTGTGGAGCCAGAGCTTAGCCATTCATGCCTAGTAGCCCTTGAAAGCCCTCTCCTTCTTCATGAATTGGTCTAATCCTCTTTTAAAGATCACTGCAGATGGGGACAGCAGCCACGGAATTAAAAGACGCCTGCTTCTTGGGAGAAAAGCAATGACAAACCTAGACGGCATCTTAAAAAAGCAGAGACATCACCTTGCCGACAAAGGTCCGTCTAGTTCAAGCTCTGGTTTTCCCAGTAGTGATGTATGGAAGTGAGAGCTGGACCATAAAGAAGGCTGATCGCCGAAGAATTGATGCTTTTGAATTATGGTGCTGGGGGAGACTCTTGAGAGTCCCATGGACTGTAAGAAGATCAAACCTCTCCATTCTGAAGGAAATCAGCCCTGAGTGCTCACTGGAAGGACAAATCCTGAAGCTGAGGCTCCAAGACTTTGGCCACCTCATGAGAGAGAAGACTCCCTGGAAAAGACCCTGATGTTGGGAAAGATGGAGGGCACAAGGAGAAGGGGACGACAGAGGACGAGATGGTTGGACAGTGTTCTCGAAGCTACGAACATGAGTCTGACCAAACTGCGGGAGGCAGTGGAAGACAGGAGTGCCTGGCGTGCTCTGGTCCATGGGGTCACGAAGAGTCAGACACAACTAAACCACTAAATAACAACAACAACAACAAGGTTGGAGGCCACCATTTCCTCCTGCCGGAGCGAGTTCCAGAGTTCGGCTCTGCGTTGCATGAAGAAGTCCTTTCTTCTGTCTGTCCTGAATCTTCCAACATTCAGCTTCATTATAAGCCCACAAGTTCAAATATTATGAGAGAAGAAGCAAAACTTTTCTCTATCCAGGTCCTCTGTGCCAGGCATCACTTTATTAACTTATATCATGTCACCTCTTACTCGCCTTTTCTCTAAACTGAGCTCAAATGCTGCAGCCTTCTTTCTCCCCCGGGATTATTGCTCCATCCCCTTGATCATGAAGACCTCCTGCAGCCTCTAAAGCAGCCTTGCCCAAACTGGTGCCCTCCAGATGTTTGGGACCACAACTCCTCATCAGCCTCAGCAAGGGCCATAGCTCAGTGGCAGAGCATCTGCTTCCCATGCAGAAGGTTCCAGGTTCGAATCCTGGCCT